ACGTATTTAGCTTACGGATAATAAATTTTATAACCCTTCTTTCCTATCTGGAATAAATAACATTACCATTTTACCTCTTAATTTTTATCTAAAGCTTTTTTTTATTTGAATTGCTTTAGAGTGTTGTTAGGCTAAAATGGTGTACATTTATAATTAGTATATGAACATCAAATAGATTTCAACATTACTTTTTACTCCCCCAATAACTGCTCTAATAATCCTATTTTAGCCAATCCAATCCGAGTGAGGCAAATGCGCATATAAATGACTTTGTTCATACATTTAATTGACTTGGCTGCTTTTCTGAAGTCTCCTCTAGTTCTCATGAAGGCTTTTTATTCCTGTCGAACCCTAATCCAGTTTCGTGGTTCTATGTTAAAATCTACATCGGACATGCTATCAACGACCTCGGGACTTGGGCCTTAAGTGAAACTTGCCTTCTTTTACGCCCTTCTCAACTTTAAATTCAGGTTTATATTTGTTTCAAGTAATTCGAATAGTTTATTAGGCCTCATAATCGAAATGGATATGTTGTAGGATTGTAATCTCCTAATTAAATCTATCTGACAGAAAGTATTTATATGTCCTGGCTGGTATTAATAACACTCTAAAAGTATGAGTGATCTGTACTCTAGCCATGCTTTAGTCATCCTGGTTTGCTTAAGTCGAGCTAAGGAATTGTAGTGGAATTTCTCACAAATAAATGAGTTGGTCTCACGAAGCCATTAAATTTCAAAGTATTGCCAAAACAGTTTTCTTATTCAGAGTGGACCGCAGTTTCGACTTCGCCAGGGTCTCATCAGCTTCTCTAATACGATACAAATTCCGGTCGCATGGGTGAAACTTACTGGCATTTCAAGGCCTACTTACTGCTTTGTGGGAAATCATTTTAATTGGCCTATGCTAACCAAAGTTGTTAAACTCATCTAGACAGCACTAATTAAAGCGATTCTGGCACAGTGAAATGTTAACTATAAATCTTTTGGAAGTTGTTTGACCTTGTTTTCGCAACTTGATCATATTGGTAGGAAGACCTAGAGGAACGCACTTGGTCCGGAGTCCTTAGTATGCATGACCATTTCCAGAATCGGGTCGTGGACGTGGTACATTCCCAGACGCTTCGCCGGCATGGTCAGTGAGCAGTGCCATTCTTAGCACAACACTACAACTCGTCGAAGAGACAAGTGAAGCCAGTCTTTTGACCAATTGTCTGCTAGACAATCGTGGTATCTCTCCTTCCGCCCTGGGCTAATCACCAATCCTATATCCTCGTATCACGCCTTCATTAACAATTTTTTAACTTGCTTATTTAAATGTTGTATGGTGTGCCATTTTGAGCGGATTTCATGGGAACTCTCCACACTCCACACTGGCTTTCTCATCCCTTTCACCATTGTGCTGGGAATGTTGATCAGAGTCTGCCATATTGTTACGCAGTCCTCCTCTAGATTTTATCAGAGTCTCCCTCTTGCCTCGTAGGATCCGTCTGCTCTCTCTCTGGTTCTATATTTCACTCGACCCCTGTCACTCCATCTCTGCTACTCGAGGTGGTATTTCCCACACTCTGAGTCTGGGACACTTACTTGAAGCGAAAGCCCCTGAGTAATTCTCACGGTCAAGCCTTTGCTATTAGAACCTACTGTCAGCCAACTAGCTCTGTCTCGTCTATCCCGTTTCTACCCCTAATACCAAGTCTATGACGTCCTATGCCCTAGTCTTTTGTGTGCCAACCCATAAATGTTGTGGTTCAACATTGAGCCTATTCAAAGCAAGCAGTACCACAATATATGTGGGTTGGTATTACGGATAGAAACAGGATAGATGCAGCGGAGACTGGAGCTAGTTG